TTATGATTATCTCCATTTTACCGATGAGATAACCGAATCTTTGAGTGTTAAGTTAACTCATCTGTTTAGATAGCTTTTAAGTAGTGTAGTCAGGATTCAAACTCAGGTCTAACTGGCCTAAGTGCATGCTTTTAATAACTACAATTTGCATTGAAACTAAAATGTGCTGACAATTGGAAGCAAATACATTTGTATAAGGTCTTGTTTAATTTATTATTTTATTTTATTTATTTTTGAGACAGAGTCTCATTCTGTAGCCCAGGCTGGAGTGCAGTGGCAGGACCACAGTTCACTGCAGGCTTGACCTCCCAGGCTCAAGAGATCTTCTCACTTCAGCCTCCTGAGTAGCTGGGATCACAGGTGCTTGCCACCACACCCAGTTAATTTTTTTTTTTTTTGGTAGAGATGGAGTTTGGAGTTTTGCCATGTTGCCCAAGCTGGTCTCAAACTCCTGAACTCAAGCCATCCTGCGTTGGCTTCCCAAAGTGCTGAGATTCCTGGCGTGAGCCACCAAGCCTGGCCTGGCCTTGTTTAATTTAACAGCTTCATCTATTTGTCTCCAACAGGGAATTGGCTCTTTGACCTAATGTGGAAACTTACCTCCCTCTGAATGCTGATGATTATTTCCAGATTTCAGTCATTTTGTAGCTAGGAGAAATCTTACAGATCACCTGCTTCGAACTTCTTAAGAGTAAGAAAATAGCCTTCAGAAAAATCCTTGGTGCATCCCAGCTCTCCTGTCCATTTCCATCATCTCGTGTTCTCTTCTCCAATGCCCAGTTTCCTCACCCTCAGAAACAGGCTTATGAAAGTGAAAACACATAACTCAATGGCATTTTAATGAATATATGCATGTGCATATATGTGTGTGTATGCATATATATACATGCATATATATACGTGCGTGTATGTATATATATACAAACACACATACATATATGTATAGGATACTTGAGGTACCTGAGTCTTTTGGTCTAAGATCAAATTGCCCAAATATTTTCATATTTATTGGAGTTGCTTTTTACTATCCCTCATACCTCTTACTGTCTAACTAACTTGCTCTATTTTTTTTTTTTTTGCTTGCTTTTAGCATTTTTCTTCTCGTCCAATTGCTGTTCCTAATAGTGAGAAAACAGACCATCAAGCATGTTCAAGTCATGCTTAATATAAAAATTAATGGACTCTGAATGAATGCTTGAGGAAACGTCAACAGATGAGATGGATGTGTTTTTTTATGTGGCCTTGGTCACTGTGACAACCAAAATGAGTGATTGAGACATAAATCTCAGTCATTGAGGCTTATTGAGAGCCAGCTTGAGGACAAGTTACTGATGCCTGTGTGGCTGTTTTTCCCAAAGAGGTTCTTAGGAGGTTTAGTATTTATACATTTTCCTTAAAAAAGAGAAGGCAACAGTGAGAGGAACGATTACTTACCTGTGAGACTTTCATTAGTGCCCTGTAAGTTTACATTTTACATAAGATAAGGTGAACATTTGAAGAAAAAGAGAGTGGAGGGGGCAGACATCCCAGGGAGGAGTGAAGGAATGACTAATCTCATTTTAGCTTTGTTCTGTACTGGGAAGATAAATCATTAATCAACATTACCAATGTGGAGTCTTTCAAAAGGGTCTGTTTAGCCCTTAGGGAAGCAAGCTGAATGGTAGTTAGTGAGGAAGGGATACAGTGAGGTGTGTCCCACCCCCTATCCCATCATGGCCATGAACTTAGCTTCCAGGCTTTGCCTGGGGTCCCTTTAGCCAAGAGTGGGTCCCTTCAGTCATTTGAGGGCTAGAATTTTATTTTTCTTTCTTAATTGATTTTAGTTTTTAGAAAGCAGGGTTTTGTTGTTCTGTATGTGTCTTTGTTTTTTTCATTTTTGTTGTTGTTGTTTTGTTTTCTTTTGTTTGTTTTTGCCTCATTCTAGGCCATGGCAAGGTTCATGGATAAACCATGTCTGAATAAAGATAAAAACAGCTGAATGCATGTACATGATCACATTTTCAGTCTAGAACACCAATCCTATTTTTACTTGGAGTTAAAATTTTTTTCTCTTGTGGAAATTATGACTCAGAAAAATGGAATATTTTGAAATACAACCACAGAAATCACTTTTACTTTCCAGCTTCCTATTCTCACTCCTTTGGGATCCAATGAACTGAGAGGGGATGAGACTGTACAAAGAAAATGCTGCCACTCATAGCTACGTACCTTAATTCAGCGCCAACCAGAGGTGATTGTTGCCACATCTCTAGGTGCTGAGAAGAAAGTGGGAGTCAGAGAGGTTTCCATGTCCCTCTAATCCAGCCTGCTTTAAACCATTAAGCAGATAATGCAAGGGTTTAGAGGCTGATATGAGGCAGGACAAAGCAGCTTATTCTGCAGAACATTGTGACAGGTCAATCATGAGCAAATAGTAACAAAATAAAAAGTCATGAGAGTATATCTATTTTCATGTTTCTAAACTTAGAGATCTTTATTACATGAGAAGTGTTTAGTATTTGGTTATTGTTGGGGTCTTTTACAGGCCTGATAAAAGCATTTTTTTTTTCTTTTTTCTTTTTTCTTTTTTTTTTTGAGACGAAGTCTCACTCTGTCTCCCAGGCTGGAGTGCAGTGGTATGATCTTGGCTCACTGAAACCTCTGCCTCTGGGGTTCAGGCAATTCTCTTGCCTCAGCCTCCCAAACAGCTGGGATTACAGGCGCCTGCCACCACGCCCGGCTAATTTTTGTATTTTTAGTAGAGACGGGTTTACACCATGCTGGCCGGCTGGTCTGGAACTCTTGACCACAGGTGATCTGCCCGCCTTGTTCTCCCAAAGTGCTGGGATTACAGGCATGAGCCACTGCATCCAGCCTCATGTTCTTTTTACACTTGAATGCTGAGCCAACTGAGAACCATAACCGTAAAGACAGGCACATAGGGGTCACAGCATCGCCCTGATTGCTGATAAAGGTTATTATGGAAGAATGTTTGTGCACAAGTCACCATTAATCCTGAAACACAATCCTGAATAGACTTGCTCACCCACTAGGGCAGGCATCTCTACATTAGCAGAGTTGGATGTGGGCTTCTAGCCAAGAGAAAAAGAATGGGCCCTGCAGGACAATTTCTCATTCCCAGCTCTTCTATCTGATAAGTCAGCTCAGCTCCCCTGGAGTAAATTAGGGGACAGAGACAGGCAAGTGGATTAGGGTAATGGCACTCCTTCCACATGGAAACAAACATGAAGATGGAGAATAAGGATCCCCAGATATCATGGGTGTGCATGGACATTTGGTCTAATATTGGTTGTTCTATATATGTACGAGGCTTTATATATGTTGTGTCATTTGCCCTTAAAATACTTTACCTCACCCTAGGCCCAGTGCAATCCCATGAAGAATGCTATGAAGAAATTTTTACAAGTATTATTACCACCATTTTATGGATCAGAAAACTGAGTCTTAGAGAGGTTATTTAACCTACTCAAAGAACACAGATAATAATTAGAAGATCTAAGAGTCAAATACAAACCTATGTTTCGTTAAAACCCATTCTTTCCACATCTCCAGTTATTTGTCACGGTAATACATCTGTTGATAGTGTGATTACAATGTAGTAATACATCCATTGATATCAAGCACATTAGATTTCTTAGTTGAAAACCATTCTAAAGCTGTGTTGATGGAAATTTAATAATTCATTAATATAAAGTTTAGACTGTGTTTTTTTAACTGTTTACGTTGAAATAATTTTAGGCTTACAGAAAAGAAGAAAAGGTAACAGAATTCCCATACACCCTTTACTCAGCTTCCCTTAATGTTAACATCTTATATTAACCATGGCATAATTATCAAAATAAGAAATTAACATTGGTACAACACTATTAGCTAAACTACATACTTTACTCAAATTTCACCTTGGTTGTCACTGTTGACTGAATTTTTTGAGGGTAGGAACTGTATTGTATGCATTTTCATATCCACAGTGCCCAGTCGAATATCCGGTCTAGAGTTAGTGATAAGTGGTTGTGGAATGAGTAAATGGATGAATGGATTTTAAGTCCCATACTACCACTTGTGTATGTTTGTGTGTCTCTGCATCTCCCAGGTTTAGAAGCACGTGAGGAAAGTCTGTGGCTATGATTTGAATGGATGCATGTTCTTCAAAACTAAATTCCACATTGACTTTGTGAAACACAGTCCTTTAAAATTATGAGCAATTTGTAAAAGAGAGTGTACTAACAAGATTGAAACAAAGATAAAGGGGAATCTAGTAAATGGGCAGAAGGCTGTGGTGTTACATTCATTTTATTGTATATGTGTGTGTGTGTGCGCGCGTGCGCGCATATGTGTGTACATGCATGCGTATGTGTACTTGTGTGCATATATGTGTGTGTACATGTGCATGTGTGGAGTGTATGTGCACATGCATGAGTGTATGTGTGTGAGAGTATGTATGCGTGTGTATTTGTTTCATAACACACTTCAGTAAGTACCTGGGCAAGAGATGTAATAGTAGTTGGCAATCAGTCCTGGATTTCTAGGCAGGTTTTAGAAATTTATTGTAAAATAAAATCATGGAAATTCCCTTGCTTGAAGAAGCAATTCAAGCAGATGCTTTTAAGGCTCTACTTGCTTTTGCACTGATTTCAGTAGAGATAACATTAATGAAGCATGAATGTGCTGTGACAATGTTTTCTAAAAACTTGTGAAATAAACACTCTTTCATCTTAACCTTTATAACCAAGGTACATGAAGTCAGGAGAAAGGCAATATTCAAAGCACAAAATTCCTATTGGTAGCTTAATGGACCCTAAAATGTATGTTTTTCTTGCTATTTCCTCCATCTGTTTTTAACAGAATTTAAACTATTAGTGTGGCAAAAACTAGAAAGGCAAGAATACGGCATTGTTCTTAGCTGGGCAAAACTGGAATATAAAATTTTTATGAGAGCTGATTTTCTTTTCAAAAAAGTTCAACTTCATAAAGGTTTTAATTATGTTATTATTGTTGTTTAGATGGAAGACGTCATAGCACGTATGCAAGATGAAAAAAATGGAATTCCTATTCGTACGGTCAAAAGCTTTCTTTCCAAGATACCTAGCGTCTTCTCTGGTAAGTCTGCGTGGAGCACAGCTCTGTTTTCTCCTGTACCTCTTAGATAACTCTAAAAAACTGATGCCAGCCGTTCACTATTGAAACTCTCTCTCTAATCCATTATTCAATCACTACTTACAAAATGCCCGTGGCGTGTTTATCAGGTGAAACACTTGAAATGATAGTAAAACGCCAAAAATCATGACCCTGTTCTAGGTTAGTTTGTAAAGACAGAATGAACAAATGTGAAATAAAAAACAATATTAAAATAAATAAAGACATATAAAAAACAATGTTATGCAGGTTGTATATGGAAATTAGGAGGGTGAAAAAAATCAATGGTTTCTTTTTCCTGACTGATGGGGAGTCAGGAAAGGGTTTCTACAGAGCAGTAATGAGCTGTTTGAAAGATGAGGAAGAGCCGTATTCACTCAAGACCACTGTCACCACCGGCTGTGTTCACCCAACTTGACAGTGACCAAACTGTAGAGACCTTGGGTCAGGTTATGAGGGTCTGTGAAAGCTAGCCAAAAGAATCTAATTCTGATAAAAGGGAAAATACGAAGACATTTAAAGTTTTTGGCAGAGGATATTGTGATGAAAGTGCTCGGGATAAACTGGCATTCAGTGAGGGCAACAGCACTGTGACAAGGGTAAGGCTCTCGCAGGAACAGTTTGGGTGCCCAGGTCCTGATATCCAAGGGCTAAAGGAATAGAGAGGAAAGAGCATGAGGGTTTAGTGAATAACTAGGCATGCAGAATAAAAGACATAGCCCAGTGGATTTCGTTTTTGTTGTTGTTGTTGTTGTTGGTTTATTTTAAAATGGGGAGACTGAGAGATAAAAGAATCATTATCCAAAATGGGGAACCTCCACGGGTTTGACTGGCAATGACTGGAGAAACCCAAGACAAAAGGAAGTGTAATAAGCTAAGCGTCTGTGCTCTGACTCAGAGCACACAGGAGGCAGTCAAAGTGCCAGTTTTGGGGCCTGGGATGTGCCGGGGCATGGCCTGCCACAGCTTAGGGAACAGGTGAGATCAGACAGCCCGAAGCCTCAGCAGCGAGGAGGGAGACACGGCGGCTGATGCTGAGTGTGGGTGAGAAGGGTGCTTCATGGGATTCCTGTACAAGGGTTGCAGGCTGCTTCCTCACGACCAGGATCAAGAGAAGATTCATGATCAGGAGGCCGTCAAGCCTGGAAAGAGGGCAGAGATCAGGACAGGAATAACAGGGAAGCAGGCCTCTGCGTTGGGGTTTGAGAGCTGTGTTGCTGTCAGAGAGAAGAGAGGGAGCTTGGAGCTGAGGAGAGCTACTGTGCAATGACATTTTGCTCTAACAAAATGTGTCCTCTTTTTTCCCTGTTACTCCCTCTCACGCCCACTTCGTTCTAGTTTCTTGCTCTTTCTTAATGATGCCTTGTACTTTTTACATCTGTGGCTTCACTCCATTTCTCCTCTCCTCACTGTCCCACTTACAGGCCATTCTGACTGTTAAATTCCATCCATTCTTCAGCAATCAGTTCAGAGAGCTCTTTGGTGAAAACTGTCCTGAACCTTTTGTCTCTGTGCTCTCAAAGACCTTGATTTTTGCATCTCTTATGTGCTCCACTCTGTCTTAGAGTTATTTTGCATATGTCTTATATCCCTAGCTAAACCTTAAGCTCCATTTGGTCAAGGATTCAGAGAGTTAACTCCACATCTAAACACACATGTAAAAATGTTAGTCATATATTTATTGATGAGCTAATGAAAGGGATGAACTTATCTTCTTTAGAATTCAGGCAGATAAATGCGCTACATTGCCATCCTGCACTGGGAACTGTGGTCAGTTCAACCTGCTTAGGGGCATTCAGCAATTATGAAAATACACAGGCCAAACAAAAAAGCTTTGCTCATCTGATTAAGCTTGGCTGCAATTTTGGGATATCTACTCTATGGGAGTCTCAAATTTTTGATCGAGTTCTTCGGATAGCAAATATCTCAACAGCAAGCTGTTGGAAGATTTCTTGGTTGACAACATTAAGATTTTAATTGAAAAATAAGATTGGACATATAGATTGAGAATTAACCTGGGAATCTCTGATAATTGGTTTAATGTTCACTGCTGTAAAATAACAGTGGTAGCTATTAAATAAAGAGAATATCAATGACATTTTTCACGTTAATGTAATTAGGTCTAAGTAATCATTTTATGTTCCCTGGAACCTCTGCAGGCACGCTCTGTCTCATAGGTTCAATTCACTGCTTTGTCGTGGATTTAGTTGGTATATCTCGTATTATGTCTAGCACTTATCAGCTTCTTTAGATTCATATTCCCAAATTATAATGTACTCAAGCTCCATCCACTTTACTAGAAGTTTTCAGTCTTTTCTAGTAATATCCCTCCCCAGATATTTCTTATAATCTCTGGGGGTTGTTAATTCCTCTGTTCTTTTGTGGCCCTAGTTGCAACCGACTGGCTGGCTTTCCCAGCTCTTTCAGCTTCTCCCTTCTCTCCCTGAGCATGTTTCATGGTCTGCTGCAGAGCTTCTAATGAAACAAGGAATCCACTGATTTTATTGCCCTTAGTAGAACCAGAAACCAGTTGTGATGAAGGCCTGCCATATGTGGAAGGAGGGTAGTGCAGTCGTTGCAGACTGGAGTCAATCCTTGCTATGGACTGTTCCACAGGGAAGGAAGGATCTCAAATGTTGTAAATCTAACTTTCTCAAGTTACCCATTTGTGCTCCTTAAAGCCTCATTACTTCCATGGACCGTTAGTATCAGAATCACTTGGAAACTTACAGGGAGAGATGTGTTAAAGAACGCAAAATTACAGCCAGATAGTTCCAGTGTTCTATGCCACCGTGGAATGACTATAGTTAACAATAATATATCGTGTAGCTTCAAATAGCTGGGAGGACATTGAATCGTCCTGACAGAAAGAAATGATAAATATTTAAGATAATGGATATGTTAATTACTCAAAAAGGATAAATGTTTATCATTTCTCAAACACTTTTCATTATGTATCACCATACATGATTTGTTTCTTGTTTTGTTTTTTGAGACAGTCTTGCTCTGTCACCCAGGCTGGAGTGCAGTGGTGCAGACATGGCAGCCTCACCCTCCTGAGCTCAAGCGATCCTCCTGCCTCAGCACCCCAAGTTAGCTGGGACCACAGACACATGCCACCATGCCTGGCTGATGTTTAATTTTTTTTTTTTTTTTTTTTTAAGTAGACAAGATCTCACCATGTTGCCCAGGCTAGTCTCAAACTCCTAGTCTCCAGCGATCTTCCTGCCTTGGCCTCCCAAAGTGCTGGGATTATAGGCATGAGCCCAGCTATCATACATTATTTGTATCAAAACATCACTATATATCCCATGAATGTGTACAATTATTATTTGTTAATTTTAAAAGAAAATGTAATATCTGGACCTACCCCCAGATGTACTAAATGAGAACCTCAATTTGAGCACTAAAGTGTAAGATGTACTGCCTTAAAATGCACCCAGAGAAGCTGGGCAACTCCGGGGAGCATCTTTGTTTTCTTGAGGGCTCTGGATCAGTGGCCACCTTGCTTGTGCCGATCTTTCTCTTTGAAGGGCTCTAATCATCTCGGCAGTCTGGCCTCAATCAAGGCCACCCCAGTCTATCTAATGCCTTTAAAAAAATTTTTACTTCGGAAGGAAAAAGCAGTTAAGAAGAAAAACCTAGTTCTTTCTCCTTCCTTTACTCCCAAACTGAGAGTCTCTGTTGCCCCTAAGATTGATAGGTGTCAACAGCTTTGTGGCAGAATGAACACTACTCAATTCCACCAGACAACTCCCATGCTTCAAAGGAAAACATAGGTCATGGTGGCCAAGTAATGCCCATATCCACCTCAAGTGAAAACAGCTGTGTTGACAAAGTGATGCTATAATCCAATTCCCCCTGCAACATCTGCAATCCAGACCCAGAATCATGTCAAAGAAAGCTATGACAAATATAATCTATCTAATAATAGGGTTTGTGTTTTGTTTTTCCTGCTAAATGCATTTTGTCCAGTGAACCATCTAAGACTTTTCTCTTTGTATTTGTTTGTTTGTTTTTTGTTTGTCTGTTTTGTTTTAAAGTTGTTGATTTCAACCTCCTGGTTTCCATAGTCCCAAGACCATGGGACAATATCTTTGGATAATTCCTCTATGCCAGTTCCTTGAACTCTGAGATGAGAAATGTCCTTGAGTGGATCCAATCACAGCATTGCCTTTTTCTCCAGAAGTGCCTTCTCAGCTGCAGAGATAGCTCAGGCAGCTGCACAGGTCGTATGTGACCTGGTGTCTCAGGGCCAGGGAGTAAAATCAGTGGTGTACGTACACTGTAGAACTTGGCTAACAGCTCTCTTCCCTGGGATTCCGTTGAGATTCCCAGAACTTTGGTGAAGTGTGTGTGTGACTCTGTGTGTGTGTGTGTGTGGTGTGTGTGTGAGTGTGTGTGTATGTGTGTCTGGCACTGAGGCAATGTAAACCTAGAGGCTGGGTGATGACCCTGTGCAGAGAGCAGCAAAGGAAGCCTGTCTGCAGTTGAGAACAGTGAAACATGTAAGGAAGGAGAAGCAGAGAAGATGAGGCAGAGAGCACTGGGTTACTGGTAGCTTTGCAGCTCTTGCCCCAATCCACAGACACAGTCCTGCAATCTCCACAGACTTCCTTCTGGTGTCTTCATCTCCTTCAATCCTCCACAGTAAAACAGCGACCTTTTGTTTCATTATGTTTTCAACTTCGATTTCCCTTTTCTAGTTTAAACTTTTCCCATCTCTGTATTTCTTCTAATTATACCCAGGAGTCATCCCCCATAGCACATGTATTGGACACAAAGTACTTATGGTTGCAAAAAAAAAAAAAAAAAAAAAAAAAAAAAGGAGTGTACGTAAAAAATGTTATAAAAGGAGAATATTTGGGATTGATCAATGCCGCTCTGGAGTATGGCTGCAACAAATTCACTGGGGAAGGTCTTAGGAATGCAGATTTCAAACGCAAACCACAGCTATTCTAATT